CTGCTGGAGCAGCTTTAAGAAGAGTACGGAGGATTTTGCTCGCGAGGCGAAAGTTGTTGTGTTATATAAGTGCTATCTTTCAAGTTATACTTAGAATAAGCCTTTTCGTAACCGTTAGAGTCGTCTGAGTGTTTTGACGTCCAATTACTAAGGAATTTTGAAAAAGAGGAATATTATTAAAGCCGTTCTCGGCGGAATAAAGTAGTTGTTGATAATATGACGACTTTAAGCGATTACTTGAAAGAACTCACGAGAGCGCGAGGTTCATATAAGAGCTTAAGAGAATCTTAAAGTAATGACTTAGAATTAACAACTATCGAGTGTAGAGGTCGAAGGTAGCTAAGGTTTATATACACGAAAGTAGAAGCGCTAAAGACTCGTGAACTATAGTTCATAGGTCAAAAGCGGGGAATAAGAGAATACGAAGAATACGAAGGAAAAAAGGAAGGAAGTAGCTTGGCGCATATGAGGTGCGTCCAAGAGACTTGGCGTGTCGTCACAGCTTATCTTTTAATCGTAAGTTATAAAAACTTCGAATTTAACCGCGGCGTTATAAGTAATAACGTTAACCTTTACACTTGTATCGAGTGTAACTTTCGCATTAATGATTAAGGATTGTCCGAGTATATTAACGATAACTTTAAAAGTTAATAGATAATAATAAAAGTATTTAAAAAATAATTAATTAAACGTCGAAGCTAAACCGATTTCCGTTAAAAGAAGTTCCGTATTACTTTCGATTGCGGTCCGCAAAGTACGCCGATCTTTACGAGTAAACTAATCGAGAAAAAGGTATTAAAATTAAAAAACATTATAAAACATAATTATAAAAAGAATCGGAATAAAGCCGATGATAAAAATAAAGCAAAACCGTTTTTAAATCGAAAGAGCTTCGAGTGCGAAAAGCGTATTGCGTCGGCGGTGCTTAATTTAGCTGCTATAAATATTCTTTTGCAATTAAAGCTTAATCATTTAAAAGAATTCGAATAAACGTTTAAGTTAAAACCGTTAAGCAATAGCATCTTTGTATAAGATCCGTCTTAATCGAGCAAAGACTTGTATAAGATTTGCTTTACTAGTAATTCGATTATAAGTTAAAGTAATAAAAGAAAAAAAAAAAGAATAAATTCTTGCGATAAAGCGCTTTACCGATAAAGCGACTCGTAACTTTACAAAATGGATCGCTATTAAATAAAAAGATATTACTTTCTTTTTAAATAAACCGTTAAAGCTTCGAAGCAAGTTCGTCTTTTATTAGATTATTCGTCGCTTTCGATATAAGCTTGCTACTTATGATCAAGCAATCTTTTAAAGCTTTCGCAACGCTAATTATAGCTTAAAAGCAATTAATAGCGCTCTCGCTAATAAATGTTTATTAAATTATCTTATCGATTATACTTTCGGAAGAAGATCGTTTAAAAGTAAAAATAGCAGCGAAGAACGCAATAGTTTTATTAAGAATTAAGTTCTTAAGCAAATCGCGCTTTTTTAAGAGCTTAATACGAATCGCTTCGTAATCTATTCTTAAAAAAGAGATTACTTTGCTAAGCCTTTCGTATGATTTAGCAATCTTAAAAAGCTTGGCTTTAAGTTTAAATATAGCTTTAAGAGCTTTTAGCAATATAACGGACAGATTCCGTAAGTCTTTTAGTCGTAAAGCGTTTCGATTAAGAATCGCGGTATAAGCGAGCTCGAGCTTATCTATTTCTATTAGTTTAACGAAAGTAACTTTAAATTAATTATAAATAAATTAAACTTTTGCTTTTATCGAAAGAGCGTTTTTTAACGAGTATAGCGTAACTCGAAAAGCTGCGTTGCGCGCTCGAGTCTTTACTAGCGCAATAATAGCTTTCGTATTAAACACGCGAACATATAAATCCGCTGATATAATGCATCGTTAGCAAATTATATCCGAAGTATTAAAATCGTTAATACGAAAAGCTTTCGCACTGCCGCTATTAGCTATTCGAATAAGCGCTTTAATACGTTTTCGTACAGCCTTTTTAATAGATTCTCGTTATGCTTTTAAAGCTTTATAACGACGCTTAAGATTAAGATCATTTATTATTTTACGAACCTTTTTTAAAACTTGCTCGTATTTAAAAATATCGTTTCGAAATTAAAACGAAATCGATAATATTTTTTTTCGATATAATCTTATACATATCAAATCCGCTTCGTTAAAGTGAAAAGCTAATCCGTATTAAAGCATAAATAAGTAGCATTGAT